GTCAATCTGTGGAATAAGCTTGAAACGGATCTGAAAATGAGTAAATCGCTGGACGAGTTCAAAAACAAATTTAAAAGATTAGTACAAACAAACTACAAAAATCAAAGTTAAGAAGATAAATTCGACATACTTATAAAATATAGTAATATAACGGTCTGTTCTTGTTTTGGATTTTGATCAACTCATTAAATATATTCAAGAAATGCAGTATTTATAATGAATATGAGACAATTGATATAAAAAGGAGAATGATTAATTATATACATGTATGTATATGTATGTATATGTATGTATATGTGTGTGTGTATATATATATATATATATATATATATATACACACACACACACACATGCAAATACAGTACAAGTGTTGAGTCATGCAAATGCAGTACAAGTGTTGATTTTCAATAAGGGGCTTTGGGGAGTGTGAAAGTGTACCAGTCAAGTTTTGTCAAACAACCAAAAGAAGCATTGATGCAAAATGTTTGCTTTATACATGACGTGTCTGTATTCATACAATTGTGTTCAATTATCCCAGGGCTGAGATTGAAAATTTTAGGCTTAATGGAATTTAAAAAAAAAAAAAAAAAAAAAGATGGAGATGACAATTCACTGTCCAGGACAGTACTTTGATGCAACTGCCTTGCCATGACACTCCAATTCAGCAGCAGCGTGAGAGCGAAAGCTTTTTCTTGCTTTTCACCAGATTCAGCTAGTTTAAACCCAAATACTCCTTCACAGGGTGAATTTCTGCATATTTAACAAGATGAGCGGAAGCCTTAGTGCTGGGAAGACAGAACAAAGTGCTGAGGAGACAAATTCTGAAGTGGACTTTGGGTCTCAGGAAGAAGTGTTGGTGGAGAGAGTCTATTTTAGCCGGCGACTGTTACTTTGTCTGCTGTTGAGTAACCAGCAGCTGGTCCCGGGAGTCTGCTATATCAGCCTTCTACTTCTTGATTATGTGAAACGCTATCAGTGTTTCCCAACTGTTTGCAAGGATCGTCATACACAACGTTTCTCTGCGTGCCTTTTGTTACCCTCACTATTTTTTCCATATTGTTTGAGACTTTGCTGCAATTTTGTTCACGTTTCAAAAGTCGCATGTTTGAAAATTGTTTTTGCCAGATACCTGGTGTAGAAAAGAACAAAGGACACTTAAAGTGTCTTGGTTGTTGTCTGCGCTGTGGTCTACCACACAGTCTCTGTTGGAGAAGCATTTCTGGACCAAGTCGGCACCATCCATTTAAAAAAACTAGTGTCTCCATTTTTTTGATTTGATTTGAGTCATCTTTGTATCAGGCCGGTATCATATACCAGTTCCGCAACCCACAAACACAAAGTCTGGGCCTTATCCATGTAGTTTCAATTCAAGATGCCATTTCTCAATTCCCTATAATGTGTCATCTATTTTTAGCTGGACAATATCGTATGCTAGGAAACACTGCCTGTAAACTACGGTTCAGGGTTGCTTCCTGACTTGATATGAGATAGACGCGGTTTCATGTTGCAAGTCTGATTGCATGCATTTGAAGTTTTTTCATTTATTTCGTAGGTTGCAACATTTTAAAGAATGCATCCGCTTCATCCATGAATGTCGCCTGAATGGCGGAGCGTGTCTGGTTCACTGGTAGGTGATCAGTCACATCATGTTCGGTTTTGAGTGAGTCAGAAGTACCTCAGTATGATACATTGTCGTTCTACACTACCGCAAGCTGCAGTAGTAAACCTTGTTAAATCAGTCAGTCAGAACGGACAAAATCATGATATGGCTCTTCTGCGGGCTCTCATGAGATGAATCATGCAAGTGTACCGAATGTTGTGACGGGGTCAGTGCAAAAGACATTTGGCTTGGGTTCCTGAACTGCGTGTTTGTCATGCAGCCTTGCAGGTGTGTCACGTAGCACTACCATGGTGGTGGCCTACCTGATGACTGTCACCCAGTACAGCTGGGAGGAGTGTCTCACCGCAGTCAAGGCCGTTCGTTCTGTTGTCGGCCCGAACTGCGGCTTCCAGGAGCAGCTGCAGGAGTACCAGACAACACAAGTCTCGGAGGTATGGACAACAAGTTCACCAGAGTGACCACATGGGGTACATCTGTACAGTGCAATGTCATCCAATAATTATGCTTTTATAAAGCCGAAAAAAATCAGTCGAGGGTATCTGCATGTGCATGAAGATAGACTGGCTGCATTTCAGTCGCAGTGGCCAAGTCGCTGCAGTGGAGAACGGGAACCGCAGAGGCGGGTGGGGGGATGCTGCGATTGCATTAGCTCTCTACTGCTCATCACATGTTTTGCTTCACTGTCAGCGTCTTGCATGCGTTGATTTCGAGGATTGCAGGGGAAATGGCTTTACATGGTGTGAGTTCTCTGATAGTGCCATTCCACATTGAATCTGTGAATATTTTCAAGCGTAGTGTAGAATTAACTCCTTAGACCAGTGATTCTCAAAAGTGTGGTGGTCTTCAGGCTCCTGCTAGCGGTACTCCAAAGAATCCATTCCAAAGTACAAGTTTCAGTTCAGTTATTTTTAACTTTTAAGTTTGGTTGATTTGCATTTAAAGGGATACTTAACTAATTTCTGCCATTTTCAGTGGCAAAAAGTTATTGTCTGGAATGAATTTGATAACTTTTGCAATTAACACCTTTTTAAAAATGCATTTTGCCACTTGCTGTCGACTGAAAGTGACATCACGTGTACTCGGGGATCAGGTCACGACTAATCAAGGCTCAGCTTGCGGATGTCACATGACCCAATAAAATGGCGATACATTTTAATTGAATTACTAAGCGCAGCGTTAATGCTCAGACTATGCATTATGTTACCGTGCCTTACAATAACATTGAATACACTTGGAAATAAAATATCCCTCATTTTTTTAATGAACACTTAATCTTAGTAGTACAATCTTAAACATTTGATAACCACTGCCTTGTACCAATTAGACTATCATAATATACAGTATTTCGTGATCCCAAAAAGTATCAACATGCCTTAGCTGTGCAACCAAAGTGGCTTACTCACCTCCTAAGAAAAACACAAGCATAAGGAAAATACACAAAGTCACCAACTGCCAGTAGAAGTGAATATCATACTGGATGTTTATTATTGCGGTTGGCATTTGCAATCATGTAGAACTGCACTACATTATTCTGAGAGCTCTTTCTAGTAGTTTCTCTTATAACCAAAATATTACGAACATCTCTCAGTGTGATACATTTATTGCAGTTGTGCACGACCACTACAACCACAATAATAAACATATAAGTTAAATATTTATAATGCTTCTGATGCAGTTCTTGCATTGGTCTCATTACTGTTCGATTTTTCTTTTCTTTTTTTTTCTTTTTTTTTAATTGTCATCAATAGTGTTCATTATTTCGTCATGTGATACTTGAGAAGGGTGAAAGCAGGAGAATGGGAATTGTGTTAATGCATGAAGATTTTTTCACATAAGGGGGTATTTTCGCCCATGCAGGTTTCGTTCTAGAGGAGTTTCACTGTATAAGTTAAATATTTATAATGCTTCTGATGCAGTTCTTGCATTGGTCTCATTACTGTTCGATTTTTCTTTTCTTTTTTTTTCTTTTTTTTTAATTGTCATCAATAGTGTTCATTATTTCGTCATGTGATACTTGAGAAGGGTGAAAGTGCAGTTACCCAAATTGAAAATTAACGGTACTGGATTTTAGGATATCTGTTCGATAAGATGGATTCTTTGTGTTAGTTCCTTCCTACCTTTATCAGGAATAATGAATGACGTCAGCTGCTATATGTAATAAAATTTTATGTTGCTGAAGCTGTAATAACCAAGGTTCGTGATATGGAAGCCTGAAAGAAAGCCAACTGTAGATTGGCTGATCCAAACCTTTGTCCTCAGTTTAATTCAGACCACCACATTTTTAGTTTCGGTACATTGTAATGGTTGAACACACGTATATAACGCTTGTGTGTGTGTGTGTGTGTGTGTGTGTGTGTGTGTGTGTGTGTGTGTGTGTGTGTGTGTGTGTGTGTGTGTAATTTGGAGACATAGAAAGAAACGGTAATTGGAATAATTAGTCAAACCATCACTTAAAACCATTTACACTGTACAGGTTTTAACTAAGTTAACATTCTTAATTAGGAGTTACCCAATCAGGACTTCAGCAAGTTTAAAATATGATAAACCGATCACCGATCCAGTCAGATGATGGACCAAGAAGCTATAAGAACAACTTATTTACTGTACAGTTGACCCTCGCTATTTGCAGGGTATTGGGATGGGCCCGGCCCGCGATTAGCCAAAGTTCACGTACAAATGACGCCCTTTGAAATTGAGCGACAAAAAACAAAAAAAATTAAACAGTAATCATTCTTCCAAAAAAAACAGTGATAAAACATTCATTACACGAAAAACAGGAAATTTAAAAAAATATTGGAAAATTTGGATGGCAGCACAGAACATCCCTGGAGTGAACAGGATTGTGCTTGCTGTCATTTCTTATTTTGCCGCGATTGGCTCTGTAAATTATGACACTGATGACTGATTTTTCAGAAAATGCTAAACATCTGCCAATTCGTTCCAGCCTATTGACACATCAAGTCTGTCCGGTATTTAATTGTCATACAAATGGAAAACGAATTTAACCACTGCAAACGAAAATTGACAGAGTTGTACTTTTATTATTGATACTGACTTTCTTGTGAATGTGTTGTCTTGTCGTGTTATCCAAAATGACTTTGGCAATTATCATGCTATTATGCTAATGAAATACACTTACTGTATGACTTCTGAGTCCAGTCAAATGTCACTCAGTATCTCCTAACAATATGACTGATCTGAACAGGATTATACTTATACTGATCTACCCACAGTACCGAGCGTGGTTGGAGTCCAGTTTCCAAGCCAGTCCGTTTAAGGACCAGGAGCAGGTGGCCGCCTTGTTGGTCCAATACACGGAGCAACAGGAGAACCAGAGACAAGCTGGTGACCAGCGCTGGATAAAACGGGACGTGGACATATGCTCCCTTCCGCCCACCCCGGCTCATCCTGAAGGCAGCAGCTGAAAACACGAAGCCCGGCACCGACTCACCTGACAAAATACTTAATTTATTCTCCACGCTAACCTCCTTGATTTCGGTTTGATTTCGATGCAGGCTGTGCGCACCTCACTCCTAGTACCTCCTTGTTTCCTTCACCGAGCCCATCAGTGCTCAGACGCCTTACTCGAAAAGCCTCAGCACCTTAGCCATGATGACATCACCTGTGCTTCCATGTGATCCTCTCGACGTGTTGCAATATGCTCAGCAGCCTTAAAGATTTGTGATTTGCCTCCGATTACAAAGGTAGTCTACCTGTTTTGGTAGTGTACTGCTTTACTGATTTTGTCTAAATGGGGAAAAAATGGAGGTAACACTAAAGGTGTAAAAGGAACATACGTTCATGAGTTTGTTTCATGCAAGGCTATGTTGACAGCACAGTGTTCAGTTTTAATGAAGGATCTTGGAAGTCCAAACACGACCATCTTCCTGATTTTTAATGAAGCTCTGATTTATCATTTTAGTGTTTGTAGATTGTTGTTTGTCTTGGGATTCTATTGGTAGACTGTACAAGTGTTTTGATTGCACATTTCTGTTTTTTTTTAATAAACCGCTATCACTGATTTAAATGTTTTCGTTGCACATTGTTTTTTTGTTTTTATAATAAAAAATATTTTAAAAAATGAAATAATTACTGTGTATGATTAAATGATGTCATTGGTTTGATATTAAGAAGTGCTTGTTTCACATTATTACGACTACCACTGATCCTCATAATGTCTGTGTCAGAAAACTTCCAATTCCAAGACTGTCACACTCTATTTCAAACCAAAATGACAAGTAACCCCCGACCCCCTCCATGAGCGAAACCGGTGGAAATAAATTATGTAACAAAAAAAAAAACTAGTTGGACTTGTGCCTCACTGAGTATCTTTGTAATTCTTGGCGACAAGGAGAAATGATCAAGCTCTTTTTTTTTCCATTGATGGTACTTTTTAAATCTATATTTTATAATACTGTGTACCCCCTAAAATACTTTCACCACCCTCCTTTGAGAACCACTGACCTAAGCAATCAACCAGCACTTCTTCAAAGAGATTTTGTGGCAAGAGTTGTGGCACGATAACACGTGGCTGCTTAATCATGATAACATGCCTGCTTACAATGCCCTGAGCATCTGACATTTCCTGTCTCAGAATGCCGCCATGCTGGGGCAACCTCCGTACACACGTGACCTGGCTCTATATGTTTTTTCTTTCCTAAACTCTGGGGGGGGGGGGTCATTGAAGGGACCTGTTTTGAAGATATGGATGCGGCAGAAGAAGCTGGGAAATTGTGTTTGCCTCCATGGCTATTCGAAGGGAAAAACTTGTAGTTTGGATTTGAAAAATACCTTTTGTGACACACCTTCTATCCCATTTATATTTTCAAGACCGCTTATTCAGTTTAGGGTCCCAAGATATTTTTAGTTTCATTTAAATGGCAAATTTAAATGAATAAATGGCGCATTCCCAATTTGGCTAAAGTACCTTGATCCCTGTGAACTGACTCGCAATTCAAGAGCTTGTGTTGAAATAGATAGTATAGTGTTCTCAGAGGAGGGTGGGTAAAGCAGGGGTCCACAAAAAGTCCCCACGCCACAAGGTCACTTGTGACTGATTGCTTTTGACGTGGGCAGTAACTTGTGTCAGACCGTTTCTTGTAAATGCCCACACTTAAGAGAACTATACTGCCGTAGTAGGCGGGGCCTGTCGTGACTTGGTGACGGCGATTGGGTCAGAATCCAGCAACGTCACTTTAGTCACTGCCATTCATAACAATAAACTTGAAAGAAACGCGCGGGGAGCAATCATTTATGAAACTCTCACTGCTCATCAACATCTCATTGTAAGTGCTTTTACTTTCGCTTTTGGGGGAACATATGCCTTTCCTTAAAATTACTTTCTAAATTTTTAATTCCAGTCTTACTTTGTAATCGTACGTGTACCTCTTGGTTTAGGTGACCCAAACACGATGACGAATTCTGGAGGTCGAAGACTAAAGCAGTGGCTGATTGAGCAGATCCAGAGTGGACAGTACTGTGGGCTCCTGTGGGAGGATGGAAGCCGAATCATGTTCCGAATTCCATGGAAACACGCGGGGAAACAGGATTACAACCAAGAAGTAGACGCATCCATTTTTAAGGTACACTCAGTTTGAATGTTCTTTTTTAACTAGAAGTTATAATAATGAGACTAACAATAATAATCACAATAATTATTATTTTGATTATTATTATTATTATTATTGCTGTTATTGAAGTAGCAATAATAATAGTAATATGTGCTGTTACTTGCTGAGATTGTTTGGCGACCAATCACCAACCACCCTAATCATGAGTACATATTATTTGTAGTAATAGTCAGTACTAGTATATTTTAAACGAGGGTTTACCACTCTTTATTGAACCAAGGCACATATTTCACATCAGAAAAACTCTCTCGGCACCCCCAAATATTCACCATGAATGGATACACACATACATACATAGATATATATATATATATATATATATATATATATATATATATATATATGTACGTATGTTATCTGTTGGAAGTGCTTTTAATCATTCTGCCTGTTCACTTACTCTACGTCATCGGCAAACAAAAATATTTTGTGTAGTGAATGAATATTTTTTTGTTCAAATCAATGACATTGGATAAATTCTTGCGGCACACCCGATGACCTCTCCTGGTGCACTTATGTGCCACGGCATACTGGTGGGTTACTGTTTTAAACTACCCTGGTCAAGTGGAATTTTACATCAAATTACATGAACTCTCTGAAGTTGAATTGAAATAGTATTATTTCTTGAGTAAGTGAATAATCTAAATTGTCCGTAGATTTTAATTGTCTGTCAATGATTGTTTGTCCATATGTGTCCTGTTATTGGCTGGCAACCAGTTCAAGGTCTAACCAGACTCTTGAGCAAAGTGAGCTGAAATAGGCTTCAGTTCAACAAAGTAGCTCAGCGGTACATACAATGGAAGGATTAATATTATTACCTTATATGACAGACAGTACACAGAGCATTTTGTCATTTTTTTTCGAGAATAAAAATCAAATTTTAAGATACATCCGTCTCTGCAGGCATGGGCTGTGTTTAAAGGCAAATTTAAGGAAGGCGACAAAGCAGAACCTGCAACTTGGAAGACCAGACTGCGCTGTGCGCTCAATAAAAGTCCTGACTTTGAAGAGGTGACGGAAAGGTCTCAGCTGGACATCTCGGAGCCTTATAAAGTCTACCGAATCGTACCTGAGGACGAGCAGAAAAGTGAGCTTGTGATTTTGGAATATGGTCAAATCTCAAATCAGGTCATCTTTTACATTTAAATAATGGATGTTATTAATAACAGTTTTGATATTATAATCATCATCATCATCATCCTGACAACATCACGAATGAGTGTGTGTGTGACGAATGTCTTCTTCTCTTGTTGTGCGACAGATGGAAGAAGCTCCGCGATGGCTGCTTCCAACAGCTCTGGCGAAATGACCGACATGGACTGCAGCCCCACAGACACAGATTGCATCATTAAAGAGGTAAAACTCATTCTTGTCATTCTTGTTGCCTTTAGTACTCCTTTGTTGACATTTTATTGTTACTGTTTTTGTAGGAAGACGGCTGCAGAATCCAGGCCAGTCCCGAGTACTGGCCGCAGACTAGTGTCAGTGGTAAGAGCAGAACAGACAATTGACCACAAAACGTATTCATAAGACATGAGCTTTGCTGTTGTCTGTGCGATGCTTGCTCAAACTGTCCAGTGGAAGAATTGACTAACATCCGGTTGTACGTTGCTGACTAGGATGATTAAGTTGTTGTTTTCTAAATATTTCTGATGATGAGGCAAAATAATGACACAACTCGATGTTGAGAACTCGTTGGGAGTGTTTCCGTGGCCTTAATTCTTCTTTTTTTAATTCACAGCCTTCTCACTGCATCAGGACCATTTACCAACTGGCACTCTTAGTTCAGGTATAGTTTGTGTTTTATGTCCAGACACACACTTTTTGCGGGAAACTTTCAATCGCTTTAAAAGACATTTTCAGACTTAAAATGAATGCAGCAAAGTAGGAAAATATTAATTGATGGAAAGAAATTATGTGTTGAAGTTGTCCCGACAAAGAGACTCAAATCTTTGGATGTTGTTTAGTTCTTGGCCAACAAGTTCTTGGGCTAACAACCCAAGAGCTTGAGTCGTTAGTTCAAATTAGGGAGCGACATGTGTCTGATTTTGCTCTGCTACACATGCACTTGCAGTGCAATTTTTCCCCAAATCAAATAATCTCTAAGGCCTGTCACACCAAATGCGACAGGAAAAAAAAATGACAGTTGACAACTTTTCGCCGCACACTGATTGCGTATCTGCTGGTGCACTGCAGTGGAAAAACTTGAACCTCACGTTCAATTTCTTGTATTTTATTCATTTCTATTGAACCAGAAAAGCATGGCATCATTGTAAAGGAAGAATCAGATTGCCACAAGGAGAAGAAACAGGCGATAATAAAGTAAAGAGTGTGGATATTTTGAGAATCTGTCTGCAATGATAGATCGGCCCAGTCACGCACTGCACCCGTTTGCATTTTGGTGACAGAGACTCTCCACTCTATGCTTTCTAGAATGCTGAAACCTATATTTTAAATGAGATTACATCTAAATATCTATCATGTAGATTTATTGATTTGTTTGATTGTTTGTTACATCTGTGATGTTGCGATGCCGTTCAGCGGCAATTCAAATTTGGAATTGCAACAAACAGCCAGCCACTCAGGAAAATTACTCATTTCAGCTGCATGACAGTTTAGTCAGTTTCGGGCCACATCGCTCCGTGTGTGGCAGGCCTACGACATTTAGTGGTAAGCATAATGTGGTATAAGAACAGTTGTAAATGATATTTAAAAAGTTATAAATAATATTGAAGTGTTTTACAATCATAGTTTTTGGATTTTTATGGTTAAAACTATTAATCTAAGCAGTTCTGAATATCTTTTTGAGGGTGGGGCATCAATTACTCATGTTTTTTTCGCTGCTATTTGCAGAAGGGCTCGGTCCCTATCCCCCATAAATTACAGATGTTCTGTATTTTCAAATGGCTGCAATGACGTTTTTTTTTTTGTTTTTTTTTTGCCATACGACCTCGCCATAAGACCACCACCACTCGTAACAGAAACCTGTAAATTCCAGGAAAGATGCACTTGCAACAGTTGTAAACTGAGGAAAACAGGAATCATGGGTGCAGACTAATTGTGAAGTGGTGACACTTGTGTATATCACACGAATGTATCAAATCAATCAAACAGTCGGGGGTGGACGGTTCCACTGAAAGCAACGTGACAGAACGTTATCCTGCCTTGCATATGAATTACTTTCCTAAATTTGTTATAGTTTGGCAAGTAACAAGATAAATACTTTGGCGTGCTTTGTTTCTTCCAGCTTTCTCCCAAATGATGATCTATTTCTACTACGGAGGAAAGCTGATGGAGAACGTATTGGTGACTCACCCGGAGGGCTGCCGCATCTCCCCGGCCCAGCAGCACCTGGGACGCGGCACCCCCTACAGCTCGGACAGCATGCAGAGCGTTTACTTCCCCTCGGCTGAACTCATCGAGTTCGAACGGCAGCGCCACGTCACCCAAAAGCTCCTGGGCCACTTGGAGCGAGGGCTTCTGCTGCGTGCCAACCAGGAGGGCATTTTCATCAAGAGGCTGTGCCAGAGCAGAGTCTTTTGGAGCGGGCTGGCCGACGCGGGCTCGCATTATGGCCCTGTGCCTTGTAAGCTGGAGAGGGATGCGGTGGTGAAGATTTTTGACACCGGGAAGTTCCTTCATGGTGAGACCTTGTTTGTAAAATACGCAACTTAGCTGGAGGAGAGATTCTCTAACCAGCTGTATTTTGTCCTGTTGTAGCGCTGCAGCTGCACCAGGAAGGTCAGCTGCCAGCACCCGATCCAAATGTGACTTTGTGTTTTGGAGAAGAGCTTCATGATCTCAGCATGGCCAAGAATAAGCGGATAATCGTGCAGGTAAGAAGAATTAAGTGACACTCTTTTCTTTTTTTTCACTTTTCGCCAACCGTAATGTTTTAATGCCTCGAACACCCTCCAACGTCCTGTTTCAGATCACGATGGTGAAGTGTCAGCAGCTGCTGGAGGCGATGAATTTGCGCCGCTCGCAGCCATACTGCACCAACATGGAGCTGTGCGATGACATCTCAGCAGAACAGATGGCCAACATCTATCAGGATTTGTGCAGCTACAGTGGTCCGCAGAGGTCCGCCTGCTACACGGACAACATGCCCATCACCGCCTGAGGGTGTGCCAAGAGTGCGCATGTAACTTTTTAGGAGCCCTCTTTGTTTTGGATCATATTCTCAGTCTGAACTTTCTTCTCAATGCCAAGAATGTCCATAGTTTCACATGTTTTTGCTTTTTGTGTTCTATACAAGAAGGGTCCTGAAAAACCTATGCCACTGGTCTGCAATACGATTAAAGAAGAACATTATTAGAATCTAACGTATCAAATTGATATGTTATTTGCAAAGGTGTAGCTAACGATTCGATGCACCTTTGCAATCCAGTGAGATACAATACAAAAGCTGAACTTTGTTTTTAACTTAACTTTTATTTCTGGAGCACTTAAAAAAAAAAACAACTGAAAGAAAGTGATGTACATGAAAGAAAAAAGCAAATATAAAACACACAATAATAAACTATTTCTTTTCAATAAGCTTGTAATCTTTAAAAACATAAAACCAGTTGATGACTTTGAAACATTCCGGAGGCTCCTCCTCTGTTGCTTGAGATCAAACTGTCACAAGCCATTTGATTGTCAAGAAGTCATTCTGATGACAATATGCTTGGAGTTTGATGTGGAACTGCCCGTCATAATACTAAGATGTATATTAATGTTTCTTTTCGAGCTTTTCATTTTCTCCAGAAATCTGATGACATTGTTTTTGAGGGGCTCTCACACTCACTCACACACACACACCCACACACACACACACACACACACACACACACACGCACATGGACGTGATCTTTACGGAATGAAGAAATTTGTGTGGAGATGTGACGTGAAGATGCTGTGCACTGAATGTAAATAGGAAATTTCTTGACTGACCAAATTTCAGCTTTTTTGGGGGGGGCGGGGGGTTCTAATTTTATTTCTGTGATTTGGGCATGGAGTGGCATATTAGAGATAGGTTTTACTATCATCATGTCTTGTACCATTTTTATGATGACATTTTTATTAAAATCATATTTTCAATTAACTCCATTCAAATTTTTTTGTCTATCATGTTCTGACTGACATATTCAATGCTAGCAGTATTTACATTTTGAAAGTTGGCGCTGATGGTGTGGCGGTACACTCGCCGGACTTGTGTGCGTACTAGGTCAGTTCCTAGTCGGTGACGGCGTGAATGTGGGTGTGTGTGGTTGTTGGTCTTTATATGTGCCCTGTGACTGACTGGCGACCAGTTCTTCCACCTTTCGCCCAAGGTCAGCTGGAACAGGCTCCAACAACCCCCCTGCCACCCTCTTCAGGATAAGCGATGTTGAAAATTGATGAATGGAAGTTGATATGAACCATAAGCTGTTTTTTTTTTTCAGACAAGAGCAAAGTGGCAGATTGCATTTATGTGATCGTTTTTAAGATCAAAATAAATAATTAAAACAAAACTAATATGATGTAAATGTTTAAATTCACACACACACACACACACACGCACACACACACACACGCACACGCACACGCACACACACACATACGCACACAGTCACAGGGCGGGCCATGATGAGGTCAACACTTTTAGATAGGCGTATCCAATGTTTCACACAGTTGGTCATTCCAGACCTGCAGGTCTTAATTGTCAAAAGTCATGCTTGCATACAGTAAAGAGGTCACACAGTGAGACAGCATATTTCTTCCCTGAGTAAAAAGAAAATGTTTTCGTGTGCGCGTGTTCATGTGTGTGCGCTTGCGTCCACGTTTGCAAGTGTGTGTATGTCATTACAGGGGAGTTTTTTTCAATTCTACAGAACAGGAACATCGTTCAGCTGGTGTCACAGGAAGCAAAAAAAACCACCACCCACATAGCACATGTGAGAGTGAATTTATAAAATGCACGAGAAGTACAGTACTCTATTCACCCAATGTACAAAAAAAATACACTCATGAGGTCAACTGTGTGTGTATATATATTATATGCATGGTATAATGATATTTGCAATCATTATTTTTATTCTGTACTTACATAGCATATTCATATAATCTACAGTACATAAAACGTGGATTCATCAACATATTCTTTGCATGCAATCTACAACATTGTCACTGTTGTCATTGTGTAACTGCAGTATCATTTACAAACTGTCATTTTCTGCAGAGTACATGCAGCGCAATCTCTATTTTGTAGACAATACTGTGCAGCATTTTCAGAGCCAGCTGTCATTTCAAACAAATTGAAATCAGTGGGACAAATCATGGCCTATTATTATTTTTTCAACCTTTATTTATTTAACAAAATTCTCATTTGCAAAGCTGACAGGGCGGCAGACAGCAGTGGAAAACAACAAGTAAAAGCAAATACGAATGTATTGGCTTTGAAAAATAGCCCCCCAAGACGTTCTCAAAAAAGCTCACCAGAGAATGGGCAGTTGTGATTTTCTAGGACTGTTGTCGAAGTGAGGAAAACAACAATGAAAACGTAAGCACCAGCAGAGAGTTATAAAAGTATGGCCTCATGATAACTATTTCGCTATCAGTTTCCGAATTATTGGCAGCTCTCATAAACATGGTCACTGTCTTGTATTAACCCTTTCATGCACCCTGTAACTTGAAAACATGATAAGCTGCCCACCGTAGTAACCGCTGGCCCTGAAAGGGTCATTTGAGCAAATGTGTACTTTTGGAAGTGTGTATCAAACTGGTAGTCCTTCACATTAACCAACAGCCAAGAAGTAGCTCTCACTTTCACAATGACTGGTGAACCCTGCTCTACAGCGAGATAGACAGTATTTACTTAATAACGTCTGTCGTAGCACACGGTGAAGTGATCATGTACACTGTACAGTATCCCTCATACATTTCTTAAAAGAAGCTATTGGGAGGAATGAGGTGAGATTTTTTTTTCCTTGTTGTTGTTGCAAAGCGCTCTGGTAGACTGGCTCGGAAAATTGGAAAGAAGCTTGTGCAAAAGTAGTGTAGATTGTGGGAAAGAAGAGGTTTATTAAACTACTGGAACAGAGAGTGCGGGTGGTGGTATGCCTGGTGAGCAGTAAAGAGGTGGTTCCGAACAGATATCATTTTAAATTCACTTTTATTCATTTGTAATATATATATAAAGAATGAGGAATGGGCGAGTACCAACACTAAGTACCAGGCTGGTATTGGGTACTCATAGAGGCTGCAGAAACCAGGTACCAATACTCACAGCAGTATATATATATATATATATATATATATATTTTTTTTTTAACATTGAATATGTCTTTCTCAGCATTATGGCAGTTTGACACATTCGTGAATCGTCAGCTGCGTCACAAAGATCTTTGTTAAAAAAAACAATTGTCGTTGTGCCAAATGAGATTCTAAAAATCAAAAGTGCTTGAGGTTGTGGTGCTCGATATCGGTGAGTATTCAGAGTGAATTCTTGTTATAGTATCGGTCTGAAACACAGTGGTATCAAAAATCCTTATCAAGAATTCTCAAGTGTGCAAATGTATCAATGTGTAACAAAATGTAACAATCACATCGTGTTCCGTCACTCTATAATGCTTGTGAATGTGACAGAAGTCCAACTGGAGGAGAAGGAGCCCCATGCCCGGATACCTTTCTGCTAACAGCATCTCTTTTGTGCTCACGTCCAGTGTCTGCAGTGTGGTTGTCGTTGTGTTGCAACAGCTCTTTGTGGCGTCTGAGGCTTCCCACAATTAGCCATTAGAGACGAGCACACAAACAGAAGTGATGTTGCCATCCATCACTGCTCCATGACATGGGCTGCCCACTTGAAGGAAGCCTCGCTTCAAGGAAATACAACAGTTTCTGATAAAGTTGAGTAACAACTAAGGACTTCCTCTTGCCCGAAGTCAGCTGGGATAGGCTCCTGCAGAACTGCAACCCTAGTGAGGATAGCCGGTGTAAGAAGATGGATGGATGGAATTTGTGTCTGTTTGGACTCTAAGTCATCTCGCTCATGGTAATTTGCAAAGGTTAAATCGAGGCAACCTGGCTGTTCTTGATTGGTGAGGATATCTCGCCTCAAATCCAAAAGGCTTCTTCCTCAGTTCTAATTTTCAAGTGTGGTACAGCCATTGACTAGTTAGCACGTCGGCCTCACAGTGCAGAGGTGCAGGGTTCGATTCCCGCTCCGGCCCTCCTGTGTGGAGTTTGCATGTTCTCCCCGTGCCTGGGTGGGTTTTCTCTGGGTAATCCGGTTTCCTCTCACATTCACAAAAACATGCGTGGCAGGCTAATGGAACACTCTAAATTGTCCTTAGGTGTGAGTGTGAGCGTTAATGGTTGTTTGTCTGTGCGTGCCCTGCGATTGGCCGGCAACTAGTTCAGGGTGTCCCCCTCCTACTGCCCCGAAGTCAGCTGGGATAGGCTCCAACACGCCCGTGACCCACGTGAGGATGCATAGATAGATAGATAGATAGATATACTGCCAATATTCTGGTTTTACAAAAGTTATTGACTGCATGTAAAAGTAATCAATGGTGCTTATTTGCCGTCAAAAAAACTGAAGCTACCGGAGGCCATGTTTCGTTGCAACTCGCTTTGCATGCCTAATTTGAAGACATTGATTTATCGGGCAGCGTTTTCACATTATTTTCTGTCTCTGTCACAAGACACGGAAACTGACAGGGTCTCTGGGGAGAGAACTGGTTTAGAATCAGTGTGGCTGAGATGAAAATAGACATCTAGAGAGGAACTGGGAGAGCACACAGGAGGCACAGGTGGACTGAGATCCCACAACATGGAACGCAGGGAGAAAGCCACCCAACAGCTTCACAAACACACGCAAGCATCACCCACACACACCCACACACAGATCAAGCTTCATATCCTCTTATCAGTATCAGTTGAAACCTAAATTTGTTCTCGCCTCACAGCTACGGTTTGGTTTCTCCCAGGTGGGCAGTTTAGCTGGATCGAAACTTGTAAAATATGCAAAAATATGTTCGTAAAGAAATGTTTGATGGTGCTCATGTAAACACATGTAAGTAATCCCCAATATGTTACAATTCCACAAGTAAAATAGAAAGTATATTAACAATGACGACTCTGTCATCATTACGCTAAACAAACCAAATTGTAATTTGTTTTCGGTTCAACTTTGGTCTGCACAAGTGCAGACTTTACCTTTGTTAGATTCATGTAAGCGTTTTACAGCACTGTACACACATTAAAATTGAGTGTTCCAAATTCATTTGGAGATGTTCTTTTGCAATCAATCCCTCTCAATAAAAATGAAGTTCTCCATTTCCGCTTTAACCCTTTACATGCACCCTGTAACCTGATAACATAATAAAAGCTGTCCACTGTAGTAACCGCTGGCCCTTGAAAGGGTTAACGTCTGGCAATTTTATCGATTTCAAAAACTGTTGTATGATTTAGCTCTTTATTGGTTTTCACTTATCAAATATCCAGTGAGTGTAGGTTAGCACTTGCCGACAGAAACAACTGCAACTGGAAAATGCGGAGGATGGGCCCACTATAGGCCTATCAGTGGCTGAGGGGACAGATGGGATGTTGCGTCAGTTATTACCCGGGTTGCTGCACGCTGACAAGATTCTTGACCGCCTGATCTGATGTGAACAGGAAACACAGGAAGGAGCCCAGGAAGATGATCCAGCACACAACTTCTCCCCCAAAAAGAGGAACAACCATGCAGACATGCTATGGACAACTCTTGCCATTTGGCGACTCATGATAGTGAAACATAAAACACGTATGAATGAATGAATGGATTCTTCATTCCAAACGGGTGAAAATGACATATAAGAACACCAAAGAGGCTAAATTGAACGAAGATCAAATAAAGTTGTAAAATGAAGCTCAGGAAGAAGCAAGCTTTATTTACTATTATCCCTTCCTAATAAATCTACAATTACTTTAAGTCCATTCATCCATTCAATCCATGATCCGAGCCGTGGGCGTGCTGCAGGGTAACCCAGCTGTCTTCCGGCAGTCGGCGTGGGACACCCTGAACTGGTTGCCAGCCAATCACAGAGCACACATAGACAAACAACAATCATTTACACC